ATGGCACATTCAACAACTAACAATGGATGTAACGCCAATAACGGACACTTTCCTTCGCTAACAGTTGAAAGGGTCAACTCAGACGAGGAGCCAAATATGGCCCAAGTAGATGGATATCAACGGCACAACAAAGATGCTATGCCTAATGAAACAGGTCAGCTGATTACAAGCAGTATGGATATACTACAGAACCATTTTAACACTGGTTCAGAAGAGAGGTACATAGCAACCAAAGGATTTGACGATGAAGGTCAAGGTCACTATATTTCAGAATGGTCCCAAGAAGGCCAGCAATTTCTACAAAATCAGATCCACCAATGGCAACAGGAAACCAGTCCACCAAGTATCACAGATACTAATCAATTCTTTACCAACGGTAATAGCCCAGTCACTGATGCCACTGGTTTTAAAAATATAAAAGATTTTGATGTTAAAATGTGGCCATGTATTTACACCAACGATGCCATTATGCCGATTAATAATCTGGATTTGGTAAATTTCATTACCGATCGTGCTGATTCAGAAAACTTGTCTTCATCCAATGAAGATACAGATACATGGGAGACCAAGCAGATTCTCAAGGCATCCGATGCCAATCAAGATGGCATTGAAAACGATGAAGCCAATGAGCAGAATAATGGGTCAAACCAACGTGGTCATGATGCTCAAAATGTCTTACAAGCAAATAATCAAGTAGAAACTGATCCAGTTGACATTCGGATGACACCATGTATTGTGACGTCATCATTTGTCGCACCTTTATCACCAGAAGATATCTTGGAGTTGGTTGGATCGCAAATCGACAACGTTTCTACATCGGACCAGAATCACGAGCCTGAAATTCATACTACTATACAGTTAGCTAACGTAACGATTCCCCGATTCAAAGCACTCTATGAGTCTTCAGAGCAAGCGAGCTCTCCATCGTCCGCTTCCTTCAATGGGAGTACAGGAAAATCGGAAATCAGTTTCAGTCAACGCTCTTCTGAACCTCGAATATTAACACCGGATCGTTTAAGGATGCAAGAAGTGTTGAAATCGCCATCAAATACAAATAGTGAAGATCCAAACACCGAATCTGCTGGCCAGGATCCACTATTAACGCATGTCCCAGAAGCTTCTGATTCCCCATTTACACAGCGACAGAGATCACCCAGCAGAGCTTGTCCAGAAGTTTCACAATCCTGTCAACCAGCATTATCCAGAACAGCAGCACAGAGTAAACTTCAAAGAACTTACCCAAGCTTCACTCACAAAACAATCGTGGCTAATTCCCAAAGACGTAGCTGTGCAACCCCTGTACCATGGCTTACAGCAGAAGAAAATGAAAATTTAAGAAAATCCAAAAACATAAACCAATGGAGTACTACTTTGGTACCATGGATCACCAATGTTCAAACTTCCGAGGGGGGACGAGAAACAGTCTCCCAATACCATGGTCGTTTCCAGTTGAAAGAACGTCAATACTCTCCAGAAAAATCTACTGAAAGTTTTGTAAGTATTGCAGATGAATTTGAAAATCGCCGTAGTTGCCTTGGACCATTTCGCGTGTCCGAAAGAGGCGAATCATCTGACATGCACTCAGAAGAGCATCAACTTGCAAAGCAACAAACAACAAGAAGCGAAGATTCCAACTTAGAAATATCATCCTTATATGATAAATCTGGGAGTCCGAAGCAATACACAGAGCTCACAAACGTCTCAAGATATAGAGCGTCCAGCGAAATCAGCGGGGCAATTGAAACGACCAATTTTACAGAGTTTGAATATCTTCAAGCAAACAAGACGTCTTCCACTGAATTATTTCATGGTTGCCCCGTTTCAAGGAACTACATGATTGCTTTTGATGAGAATCTTCAAATGGCTGCAACTGTTTGGTCGGGTGGAATGGAGGAGGCGGATACTGAAGAACAGTCTGAAAGTGAGTTCATGTCCGATGTAGAACCACAGTCAAGCTTTTCGCTTGAAGACGCACAGTCTTCTGGATCATTTAGCAGTGAAGTTAGTTCAGATGAGCCACATCGACCATCTTTTAACCACAGTTATAACAGCGATGAACAACCGGCTGTAACCCGTCCAAGCCCTGCCAATATCCACCGTGATCGCGTTGGTACATCTTCAAGTGGTTACGAGCCATTTCACATTTTCATGTCAGATGTAGAACCGCGATTAAGTTATTCACACAGCTCACAAGACACACATTCTTGTGGATCATTTAGCAGTGAGAATAGTTCAGGTGGGCCACATCGACCGTCTTGTTACAGCAATGAAGATAGCAATGAACAAACGGCTCTGTCGATCCAATGCTCATCCAACATATTAAGTGATCCGATTAGTAAATCTTTAAGTGGTTGCACCCCCTTTCACATTTACATTGGGCAAACAGCATTAATTCAAGCTCGGCCCATTACTCAATCTGCTGGGCAGAATTCCAAATTAGCCCCGGTGGTAAATTCAAAAGATTACTTAGACAAGAATATATGTTGCTATTCTTATGGAGATGAACGAACCAAGATGGTACCGAAAGTTCCCCAACCAGTAAGAGCAGATAACCGATCACTGTACAACGTACAGAGCCCACCAGAGAGGAGAAATAACAGACTTTCGAAACATAAAACAAATCAAGTCTATCCAGGCTCAGCCAAATTATTACAAATCTGTAAGAAAGTAAAGAAAAGTAAATAAAGAATATTGTTATATTGAAAGTATGTCCTGTTATTTCAAATAGGACAAATCCTATGCAAATATTACCTATTGCACATATGGTGTACTAATCAGTTTGATATTTCCGTTGACAATCGTAGCAGTCTAGAAAAACAGATATTAATATTTCAAATTTTATTGGGCCCCATCCCCTCTAAGAATTCATTATCATTTCAGGGAAAGAACCCTTCTCACAAACCCCTTTGCCTTCCCCCTTTTACAATTCTATGGCCCCTACTCATCCCCACCCAATGAAGCGCCCCTGCCTCTCATAAACTCTCTTATCCACTGTCTCATAATTCATGGGTCATATTTTCTAACCATATCACAGTATGACTATTTAAGAGATCTGGGTGAATTTTTAAGAAAATGTAAAATATTATTTCGGTTTTCCAGTTTCAGGAAACTCTCAAGTTTAACTATCTTTGCGTCCACTAGGTTATTTCCCTCTTTATATATTTATAAATATAACCTTTGAAAATTAGGATAGGTACGGCTTCAGCCCCACCAGGCCCGTTGCCAGATTGTTCGGAGGGCCAGGTAATAATATATTCGGAGGGGCAATGGTGTATAGTGTTAAGGTGAAGTAATGAGATGCGTTGGTTAGCAAAATTTTTTTCAGGGGCGCAATTCATTCATTTTTTCGGCATTACTCCCCCCCTCTTTTCCCCTGTAACTACTGGCCTTTGCCCCACAATTTAAACACTATGACATTGGAGAACACTGACATAGAATAATGAGTCACTAGTTACAGTCATCAAGATAGAATTTATCAACCAACTGCTGAATAAATAATCTCTTTAATAAATTAATTTCTTTATTGAATATAATTATAATAGAGGATTGTTAAAACCATATTATTTAATTACAACTGGGCTATAAATACCTCTAGTTCTAAAATTATTTCAAACGGGAATTCTTAGTTCACTTGAGAATTCTAGCCTTGACCAAATCTATACTGGAAAGAGTTTTTATAACTTCATATTTTGGTGGTTGGATCTCTATTATCTCATATCATCATGTTTTATCAAATTTTGTTTCTTTTGGTTTCCTTAGCAACGTTTCAGGTAAGAGTTTATTTTATGCTCAAGCTTAATTTCTACCGTGAAAGTTCTTTCAGCATTCTGCGGAAACTAATTTTATCATTTCGATAACAGTTGCAGAAATTTTCAGCGTTCAGAATATTTGTGCCCCTCTCCGACTTCACAATCTTTTACGTGTCGCAATTAAACTATTTGATTGAAGAATGTCGTATTGAAAGATATTGATATTGGTCAAAAGTTTATTAGCTAATCGTAGTTATCATAATAATTTAAGTTGTGTTGTTTCTAATCGCAAGCACCCAATCTTGTATTTGAACGAATAATGAATCAGAGTTTTGTGGTCGGCATCCTCGCATGCAATTTCTATCAACATAATATATGTCTTTCAACGAATATTGCAACAGATTTGTGGTAGGCACCATGCGTAAAAATAGAGAAAATACAGGAAGTAAGTAGATATGATACTATTTGTTTTTTTCTTTCAGACCTTTCACGTGTCAGGTAAGTCACATATATATATATCAAATTTATTGGCATATTAACAATCTAGAATTATTAACAGAGTGTCATTATAGGCCTATGATCAATTTTCAACTCAAATGTACTCTACTTAAGCAAACTTGTAAAATATGATATTAATACAGATGTTTCTTGTGTTTAAGATACACAAACTCGGACATACTGTGTTTAAATCCTACGATTGCATGACGACCCTAAAAGACGATGGTCATATTGTTGGTGGCTTAAGATGCCTACTGCTGCACCATACGTCTGTATACCCATGTACCTTAAAAAAAACTTGATAGAAATACTTGATATACGATGTATCAATTCTAATCTACGATATCTACGTTATTTACGATATTGGTATCTAAGCGGCTAAATGAAGGGCGTACACTGATGATCATATTGTAAGTCGCTAGAGATACCAACAGCCACACCAAACGTCTATATATCCCTGCACACATTAAATTTTGCTTTTCAGGAGCTCAAGTATGTGGTCGATCTGCAGATGTAGCTTTTGTCATTGATGCTTCCAGAAGTATCTACCCCCCGCACTTTAAAGATCAGTTAAATTTCATCAAGGACATGGCTGATTCGTTCAATATTGGACCAGATCAAACCCAAATTGCAGCTGTAACATTCTCAGAAGGCTACCAAGAAGAATTTTTATTTAACACTTATAGCGAGAAGCCCTCAGTCATTCAGGCCATTAAGAACATAACATTCGCAATGGGAGGACGAACAGATACTGGAGAAGGTATCAAATTCGCCAGGAATGAAATCTTCGCGGCTAGGAACGGGGCTAGAGCCAATGTTCCACATATTATGATAGTCATCACTGACGGTAGATCTACGTATGGTGGGCTGACAGCCAGCGAAGCAGCTAAAGCTAGAAACGACGGAATCCTTATATTTGCCATTGGTGTTGGAGCAGCTGATGAGAATGAGCTGAACAACATCGCGTCCAAACCATCATCTGAATATGTCACCAAAGTCACTGATTATACTAAATTGACTGGAATTCGAGAGAAGCTTGCTCTTCAAGCTTGTGAAGGTAGGTTGACGACTAACGGTTTCAGACATAAACAGCACGTGAAGAAATAATTGAGACAATGAGGAGCTGCAGCTGAGGTAAAGCCAAGTAAACCATTCAAAACACTATTTTTGTCTTTCTATCTTTTATGCTTCACCTTTTAGCTTGATTTACGATGGATAGTTTAATTTGTTTGTGGTTCACTGCAATTCACTTCTGGTTGTGGAGCTCAGATCTTTTGGCGATGGACTTTTCTCAATTATATGTTCATATAAGTATTTGGTGTCAGGGTCTTGAGTTAAAAATACCCCATCCCCCATCCATGTTACCCACAATTCTTTTGTAAAGGATCTTTTGTTAGTTTATATGCTTTTTGTGGTAAAGGTTCTCTCTACTTCTTCATTTTGTATCACCTACTGTAGCTTTAACAACGACCCCTCTACCCACAACTACTACAACTACCACCCCCGCACCGACTACTACCCCGGAGCCAGCCACAACAACAGAAGGTAAGGTTGGTTCTTCCAGTTCCTCGGTAACTATACATGGATATGACTAGTTTATGACACTTGGCATCATACACGTAGAGGGACCTCACACGATAGCGATTACCAGATTCATAGGATTGCGAATTAGAATAGCGGTCATTAGTTTCGAACGCAACTCTCATTCAACTGATTTGTGAGTTGCGCTCGGAACTCATGACCTTTTTCATTATTCACAACCATACGCACCTGGTAATCGGTATGATGTGGAGGCACCTTTAGTTATCTATAATACAATGATGCAAAAGAAAGGGAATGGCCTTATGACACATAAAATTTTCTTGATGGTTTGGCGTGGGCCAACAAACGGAAATTATCTCCAAATTGTAAACAAAAGAGTTATATCAACTCCATATGTTGTAGACTCACTTCCATTTCTATTTCAGAAAAAATGCAGGGAGATCGACCCGATAAGGGTAAGTCATTATGTTCATCCTATTGTCTGGTCATTGAAATGATGGAATCGACGCCAGAGATGCCAAACAATAGTCACCCATCTTTCAGGGTAAAATCTACCCAATATTTGGCTTGCAGGCATTGAATATTCTTCTTAAAGGGATGGTGCGGCATTCTTTTTGACCAATCATACTTTACTCCCAGAAACGGGAATATTTTAGCTAAGCCAATCAGTAATAGTGTTCACAGCTCACCGTCAGAATTTGAGCCTTCAAATCATGTGTGGCCAGAATTATCCGCGTTTGAATGTTGAAATGAAATAATAATGCTTCTGATTTTGTACAATATTTCTTTCATGTAGAATGTATTACTGGTAAAGATTCAGATGTTATTTTTGTGCTGGATGAATCCAGTAGTATTGATAACCGAGACTTTAAGAAGCAGTTGAAATTCGTCCAAGATGTCATCAAAATGTTTGATATTGGACCCAAAAAGACACAAATCGGTGTGGTAACATTCAGCGATCTCCCCACCGTCGAGTTCTATCTTAATACTTATAAAAAGAAGAAGGATGTCTTGAAAGCAGTTGGCAGGGTCGTATATTCCGGTGGCAACACATACACCAATCTGGCTCTAGAAACCGTCCGAGATAAACTACTGTCGCCACAAGCAGGTGCCCGTCCAGGTGTAGCTAAAATCATTGTAGTCATCACCGATGGTGTGTCACGAATGCCTAAAAATACTGCAATGGTAGCTGAAGAAATCAAGAAACGTGGAGTTTATATGTTTGCTATTGGTAAGTGTTGTCTAGCGGCGAATGCACTGTTACACAGGCCTCGCGAAAATCAGTTTTATTTTCCAGCTAGATTAATGTTCTGCACTATAGTTTATTATAATGATTATAATTCTGATTCCCTAGTAATGTTAAAAAACAAATGATGAGGCATTTCGTTGAGTCTTGTTTCCATCGCACTAACATCTAAACGACTTAAGGGAGATCACTCGATTAATAATCGTCGAATTTCTATCTTTATAGGTGTCGGTAAAGAATTCGACCAAGATGCCGAAGAACTTATTAACCTCGCCTCCTCTCCTAGTGAGAGTTTTGTTCAGACTGTTAATGGTTATAATGCCTTGGGAACAATTAAGAATTTATTATCCATCAAAAAATGTAAAAGTAAGTATCATTATCAAGCAATTTCGTTGACAGAAAGTGGCTTAGAGTTTGATGGCTACGGAGATGTTGTGTTACGATTCGTTCAGATGTGTAATATAAATGGGTAATTATATATAAGGATATCTTGTAACTTTGGGTCATAGCTTAAATTAGCATTCTTACTGATTGTCGCGTTTCTAAGGCCTACTAAGTCGACTCAGGGCACAAAATTCTTGTACGTACCTGTAATTAGTAAGTGGAAATAGAAAATAGGAATTTTGCAAGTCACATGCCGAAGCAATTTTCTAATCGTCTTGACCAATTATATTGAATTATTCTCTATTATTCGACACTGTTAAAATAAGCCTGTAATTTAACATTAGAATTGTCTGACAACCATGTTGCCAGATAGTCTCCAAATTAGTTAATATTTTTAGAATTCCATATTATACTTCTACGAATATAACGAAATATTTTTGTATTTTGTAGCTGGTGGTGGTGGAGGTGGAGGACAGGGTGATATTCACAGTAAGTATATTTTTACTCCGCATTTTTGACAATCTTCTGAGGATGGGCTGTAACACAGTCGGTTAGAGTGTTGGAATCACAGGTCACAGGTTCTAATCTTGGTGAAAATTTAGTGAGCTTCCTTCATTGTTCCAGTAGACCCAGCTGTAAATGGGCGCAGATAATCTGGGAAAGATCAATGTTAAGAGGAAATTTTCCTCGTATCCTTGATTATTTTTTCCTTTTTTTCTTCCGTTTTTTCTTTCCCTATAATTTCTCACATGGATAAAACACTATTTATGATTTTAATTTTACTTTCATTTTATTATTTCAGCATCTTGTGGAAGTAGGTCACCAGCAGATGTCATGTTCGTTACTGATTTCAGTCAAGCTTCATCTCCAGGCGTTGCAAAATCTTTGAGAGTCATTGGAAATATTGCCAAAGGTTTGGATGTCGGGAGAGATAAGGTCCATGTTGGTTTGGTATCAAGTGACTGTCCCGAGGTCGGCGACGTTAACCCACTTCAATATTACGATGGCACCGGCTTCGCCATGGCTCTTACATCTAAAGAATCAGAGACACGGGTTTCCAAATTACTGTTCAGAGCAAGAGACGAATACTTAACTAGTAAATACGGTAGGAAGAATGCTAAACGAGTTATCGTTCTTTACACCAATGGACCAATTTCAGATTTTAGAGAAACGGCAAGGGAGATAATGCGAGCTGAACATCGTATCAATGATGTGAGAGTAATAGTGGTATCTGGTAGTCCAGCAGGTGATAAAGATGCTGCTAGACTACCATCTAGAATGAAGATTCTGTCCAAAGATCTTGGCAATGGACAATCACTATTAAACCTAGTTTGTCAAGGTGAGTGTGCCAAGTTTTATGTTCTATATCTTCAACTACAAAAGAGAGAATCGTTGCGCTGCAACACATATGTTAAATCATTTTGTTAGGATAATTTCATACACTTTTAGTAGAGAACATGATATTAAACCTCACTTACCCCAATAGAAAACTCGATTCTTGAATAACGACATACAACAGTCTTTATGTCGCCCACAATATTTAAGTTTAAGAAAATTCTGAATTAAAAAGTGTTTTTTTTAATAATATAAATGTTCTGTTCTCCGTTTCAGCTATCAGAGTTTAGAAGAAAACATCCAAGAAAATCTACAATGTCGGCATTTTAAAGATCTCTCCTTCAGCAACACAAATACAGAGGAAATCTAGATTAGCAATGCATTTATGGCAAAACAAACATCAGTCGCAGAAAATTGGCGAAATATAGATTCGAATCTAAGGGAAATCTACATAAACAGCATAATCTGCAACTTGGGGACATTTTTTCCATCATATTTATTGTAAAAGTTAAACAACTTTATAGATTTATGCCTCGTTTTCTCTTTTCCATGGACATATTTCATATGATATTAATGACGTTATAAACTGTAATTGTATGAGGTATACAGAAGTAGAAGCCTGAGATAACTTATTTGTAAAGCCAAATCTTCTTCACTTATTTATTTTCTAATAAAGATTCTAGATTTATGTTTTGTAAACTATTGTAGATATAATTTATTTTATTTATTTATTGTAAATATTTCTATCTTTGTGTAATAAAATTGTTGGATTTAGTTTTTATATTTATAAACTGTGCTATCCCAGGGAAATGGTGAGGCTGACATGGAACACGCGTCTAGTCGTTCAGGTGAGACAATTGCCTGGAGATCCGACTCCAGGTGTTACAGACTAAAGATTCTTGACAGCCGGAGACTTTCTACTGGTACAGAAAAATAGGACATAAACTCCCGTTTATTAGAGAACGTTCTATCATAAAAAAAATATCCGCGAATTCGCTGGGCAATTAATGTGATAAGCAAGCCCATTGAGATTTGCGCAGACAAAACTAAGGTTTGGGTTCCATACGAAGATAAGGACAAGTGAATTAAGCACAATTATGTAGGTATCTTTGAGGCTATTTGAAAAACAGCTAAAATTATCATGATCATTCGGGTCCCGCATGACCTTTGTACCGGCCGAAGTATTTTCTCAAGATTGTTTTGTTTACATTCTTAAAACAATAATATAGCAAAACCGTAAACAAAGTAGTGACCTTCATTAGACCAAAATGGGCGAAAATTAGCATTAACCCATTCTTATCAGATTCAAATTGGTTAAAGTGATAGATCAACATCATACACTGTGACAAAACTTTTCTATTTTTCACTATAGATATATGAAATAAATTCTATGACGTTTTTCAGTCTACCCTTTGTCTACTTATGTTCTATTTCTACGTAATCATTAGACATGATTAAACAATACCGACCAGATAAAGGTATTTATGATGGAACAGCGTTTCTATTGTTGACTTTGCGAGAAAATTGACAACAGAACCCTGGTAGAACAGGGAACGAAAATCTACAATGGTAGACATTTTGGAAAATTTACATTGGTAGAACTTTAGAAAAGCTTTAGGAAAATCTACATTTGGAGAAGTTTAGGAAAATCCCACATAGATATAACATTAAGAAACCTTTAAGGAAATCTACATTGGTTGGTAGAACTGCAGAATTTCAACGGGAGTCTATTCATATTCAGTCTACTTTGTTCTATTTTTTTTTTAAATATAAAACAATAATTCTACATATAATTGAGAAAGGTCAGCTCGTTAGGTTAATAATTAGATGGCTTCTACCCTTTAATGCCTCGTGTGAAAACCTGTCAAAAATAATATCTACCCCAAAGGCATCATTTAATAGAAAGTCAAATGGTGATTTTACTTGTGTAAATTTATTAATTTTCCTAAATTTAAATCATGATTGGCGACCAGGTAGGCTATAAGATGACGTCAGTTGATTGATGGGTTTTAGATTCGAATGCGAGTATAAATTAACTGGTACAAAGAAAAAAAGCATTGACTCCAAAAACAAGGTAAGATCAACATCTTCATATATTCATGCATTTTTATCTCATACTGCATCTCATCAAGCAATTTATCTATAGTAGGCTACAATTTCTATCAGAAGTTCGATTTTGTTTGATGTCACGACTGACGACAGTAGTTTTTTGAAACAGAATGCATCGACATTCTGGTTGTTCTGACTGCATTTTTTTTAGCTATTCAGTGCTCATGCATCATCCAAGATAGTTTCCAGTCAACGAATTCCTCGAAGGATGTAAATGTTAAATAGTCCAGATCGATTTCTTACTTTTTAAATCTCGATCTTTTCTAAATATAATCGCTTTTAGATTAATTCTATTCTATTCTATTCTATTCTATTCTATTCTATTCTATTCTACAGATGAGAGGACTGGTATTTCTGTTAATTTCGCTGTGTGTCGTGGCTACATTGGCCCGGCCCAATTTAAAAAAGAGGCAGACATTAAAAGGTAATTGAATATTACTTTCAAAATTAGGTGCTTTCTGTATTAGCAATTGAAATACTTTCACCATAACGCTATCTGTATAGGAACCTAGAAATTATTGTATGCGTATTCAATATCATTTAATCCCAATGTGATATTTCACTGATTTGTCATGTTCCTTTTGAGATTTTGACGACTGTATAGTATTAAAAGTAAATTCTTGAAACCATGTCCAAAAACTGCATTGCATTTGAAATCCAATGTAGTAATGATGTTTGTGAGTTTATGTGTGTGTGTGTCGCTAGTACGACAGGGCAAGCTCACACTTCTGGCTTCTGATACATCTGATGCCATTCCACGCTTAGGTTTGTCAACTGGAGAGATTGAGAGAGATAGTCCACAGAGCCGCCGTGTGTCACCATGCGTTTTGGTATTGTGAACTTGGCAGTCTTTTCCAACAGAGAGTATACATAACTCTGCTAGTGGAAAAGACTGTCCGTGAGGTTTGTTACTAGTAATTTTGTGGACAAGACTATCGCCATTCTGCGACTAATTGGGTTTAAAATCTAAGATCCAAGATCCTAGTCCAAAAAACGTAAT